ATGAGAAAAAGGCATTTGAATGGTATTTGAAATCTGCTGAAGGTGGCAATTCGAATGGGCAAAATAGACTTGGATGGTGTTATCAAAATGGCATAGGTGCATCTAAGGATGAAAAAAAGGCATCTGAGTGGTATTTGAAATCTGCTGAAGGTTGCGATTCGGAGAGACAATTTAATGTCGGATTCTGCTATGACGAAGGCATAGGCACAGCCAAGGATGAAAAAAAAGCATTTGAGTGGTATTTGAAATCTGCTGAAAGTGGCGATTCGAGTGGACAATTTAATGTCGGAGTCTGCTATAAAAATGGCATAGGCACAACCAAGGATGAAACAAAGGCATTTGAGTGGTATTTGAAATCTGCTGAGAGTGGCGATTCGTATGGACAATTTAATGTCGGAGTCTGCTATCAAGATGGCATAGGCACAGCACGAACCTAGCATAACCACCACAATCAGTTACGTACGGAGTTGGAATTAATTACCTACCGAAATTTTAATGATGCAAAGTATCGGTCATTGTTAATAATGAGTTATAATAACGATGTTTATTTATATTGTAACTTAATAACAAGTATCGATTAAAAATTTTTCTTACCAAATATCTCATAAAATCTAATTAATGGAATCCGATTATTCAACCCAATCGAATTCAAAAAAATGTTCATCCTGTCAAATAATTAAACAAATTAATAAATTTGAAACAAATAAAGAAACATGTATCAAATGCTTAACCCGTATAAATAAAGGCAAAAAACGGAAACGTCAAGAGCAGAATATGAATAATATTCTTGAAAAGCAAGAAAGTGCTATAGAACCTGAAGATATCAAAGATGTAGTTTATAAAAAACTCATGGATAATATGGAAGAAGAGAATGCACGAATGGATCTTAATGCAATCATAAATCTTTCAAATCGAATTGATAAATTAGAAAATAATGATGAATCACATGCAAGCTTAATAGTAAATAAGATTGTAAGGCTCTGTGAGAAAGGTGATGGATATTCTTATGTTTATTATAAGAAGCATTATATTAAGCAAACAAAAAGTACAACATTCACTTATTGGTGCAATTGCCATCAAGAGCTTGAAAAAAAGGCAAAAAAGGTTTTAGATAATTCTAAACAATGTAATACAGAGTCACGATTAGATTGTTATGACTGCAAAGGTGCTATTTTTGTTAGGATCGATTTACAAAATAAATTAGCTTCAGTAAAATTGGATCATGTTTACTTGCATCCACAACCACAACACATAGGCATTACTGATGAAATTAAAATATATATTAAAGAAAATTTAGTATATTCTGCACCTGAGTTATATAAACAAATTGTTCTTGAGAAAATAAATGGCTATGAATTAATTATGGTTGATCAAGCATATTATTGGTGGGCGCATCATGCTGTTACGAAATATCAAAGAGCAAATAATCAATTTCAATCAGCCAAATTGTTATTAAATGAAAAAAACTACAAAATTATTTTTGAAATAGACGATCCAGTGGGAGTATTTGCCTTTATAACGCCATTTATTGCTGAATTGCCTAAAATAGCCTTTGAGACTTTACTCGTCTAAGCTTAAACATGAGCTTTATTCAATTTTAGCAGTTTTCGATGGTACAGGTTTTCTAATAAGTTATTTATATATTTCAAGCGACAAGAATCGTGATATACGTATGATCCTGACGAAATGGTTTAAGACCATTTCAAATATGAACATTAACAATATAAAATTATTATTGTCTGATAAAGATTTTTCACAAATCTCTAGTGCGCAAGCTATTTGGAAAGATGTAAGAGTACAACTATGTAAATGGCACGTTAAATGTGCTATAGAACAAAAGCTTTCTTCAACTAAAAAAGGAAATAATGCTAATAAGGCACATAATGAATGTCCTGTAATTGACCCTATGTGGAATGATCAATACACAGATACTGTTTTATGCAATAAGGTTTTTCTTAAAGCTAAATTAAGAAAAGATGTGCTAGATTTTATAGAAACTCATTTTCACTAACATATGTTGATACCTACTGCGGATAAAGAGTTTGTTACATCATCTCAAGAAATATGGACATGGTCTGTTTGTGAAATGTTCAACTACTGTCGCCAAAAAAATTTATTACATGTGTAATTATACTTGTGGAATGAATGGTACCATTGGAATAGGTGGTCACTTTGGGCATTATCTGCTTCACAAGATATTTCAATAATTCATACAACTATGATTATTGAGTCTCATTGGTGTATTCTAAAAAGAGACTATTTGTACAAATTTAATCAGCCTCGTATCAATCTTGTCTGTTATATCCTAGTCGAAAAATTATTACCTATGCAATTACAATGGTATCAATTGCTCTTGCAAGAAAGAATATTGCCATTTTGGCGTGTTGATTTCAAAAATGAATGGCAAAAACTTGCTATGCGTTCAATTAAAACTACAAACAAATATCTAACAAACAATGAGCATTGGGTATGTTCTTGCCCTTATTTTTTTAAAAATAGGTTTTATTTATGTAAACATCTTGTTAGTCCTTTAGGAAATATGACGGCCTCATTCTTTAGAAAGGTTTGATAAATTATTTTTATATGATTGTATATATTACAGTTTAGAAACGTATATAATTATTAATAACTTTCAATTTAAGTTCAACGAAATTCATATTGTCCATTAATTGAAGAAGCCGAAACAACTATATGGGAGAAAATTCGCATATTACCTGATAATGCATGACTTCCTATAATGATTACTTCAACTATTCTTGACAATAATGATAATAACATTGTAGAAAATGATGAATCAAGTGAAGAAGAAAACGAATTGGAAATTATAGATCAATACAAAAAAACTCTTTACTAAGTATAACCTATTTATTGTTTTTATCAAATTAAATTATGCAGCATAAATATAAAATATCTAAATTTAATACTGATACTATTCTAATACATATAGGCGCTTGACCTTGAAAAGTCTCATAACCTTCCACAACAAAAAAAATGGTTGAAAAATATTGAATCAAATTTCACGCCAATTAAAAAGATGATAGACGATATAAAGAATTTGAACCAAACGAAAAACCTTCCAAAGACATGGAACACACGAAATAAAAATACTTTTTATTGGTAAACCTAAATTTCATGAATATTTCATGATATAGTTCATAAGTTAGGTAATAATAATTTGCCAAATAAATTTCGAATAAATGCTTTTTCTTGATGCAATAAAAATTTATGATATAGCATGTAAAGTTAGGTAATAATTGCTTACCAAATAAATTTCAAATAAACACTTTTCTTGACGCAATAAAAATTTTATATTAAAGTTCTTATATAGTAATTTTTATGTTGCTAACCTGTTGGGTTACGAGATCCGGTTAAATAAAATCTCTGATCAGATTTAAACAGCGATTACGTAACTGATCGTGGTG